GTGGGCGTCTGCCATCAATGCCCTTGTGACAATTCAAGAACGGCGAGTATCAAAATCATATGAATCACGATTCGCCCAGGGGTGAGGCCTGGGTCCGCCCTTGGGTGGCTTATATTTCGCAGGAGGTATAGCATGCTGTAATATGTAAGGGAAAATGGATTAGGCCGTACGCTTCTGGGAGGGCTTAACCCTAAAGCACCCCCCCCCCCCCATTTTTTGGCCTCCCATCCTAACCGTGTTAAAATTCGTACATCCAGAACTGGCCGACACGACCGCTCCTTTGTGCCTAGGGTGTCGAGATTATGACACAATCTACAAGTTCTACTAACCTTAGGCAGTTCAAGCATCAGGTTAACAAGTTTTCTTTGGGATCCTCATAACAGCCGCGGTGCCGTGGCATTTAGGCTGCTGCCTGTGCGGCTGCTTCAGTGTAAAAAACGATCCTCCAACTGAGGCGATGAACGGCCGCCAGTTTCATTACTTACTAAACGCAACGTGTATTCATGCTGGCACCTATTGTGCTTGTTATAATATACCACACGATGGACTTTTAAGAGCTCCGATTACTTTTTATTTCAATGCCATCTTCCTGATTTCTTCTTTATTGAAGGTCGTTCCTAGGTATTTGCGTAGCAGATTACATCACCTTTCAAGTCGTGTAAATTAACTGATTCTTAATAAGGCTTCCTAAAAACAGCACTATCTAAAATTACCATGCATACTTACGAAATTAGCCGTTAAAAAATTTAGCATACAATTCACTTAGGATGCTGGTCGGAAAAAATGTTCAATGTCAAATTTCAATAGGACAGGTACGTATCAGTCGAGGTTATCAATGAAATTGCTACCTACACTGTCAGCGAGTGGCCAGAGTTATCGGTTTTGGTTCCAACATTAAGGTTATTACACATTTATGATCTCTTTTACTGCACGATAGATCTTATCCATTGTTTTGGGAATAAGAGAATATTGCAAGCATTCATTCAGATCTCTGCGGTTGAGTTGAAAAGAAAAAGACAGGTAGCAACTTCTCTGACGGCATAGAGGTTATCACTGCCTAAGAACACAACAATTTAGAGCACTTTAAAGCACAATTACCACCTTAGCTAACATCTATCCGGTTTCTATGGATGGTCAAGCTCTGCCAAAATGCTATTCGCTTCAGCTGGTCCGAGTTCATATCATCGATGACATGATTTGAAGGAACACGACTCGTCAATCGTAGCAATTGTCTTTTTTATTATAGGCAGAAGCCTAAATGCCGCGACACCGCTGCTGCTATGATGATCCCAAAGAAATTTTATTAATCCGCCTATGCTTAGTAGAACTGGGAAAAGCTTCCTCTTGTGGGTTATTTCACGATCTCGACACGCTCGGGACGAGGGAGCGGTCGTATCGGCCAGTTCTGAATGTACGAAGTACGACACGGTTGCATGCACACGTGTTCCCTTGCCAGAGTCCGTGTGGCGTCCCCCATTTCCCCTGTATCCCCATATAGCCCCACGATACCCAATGGGTGTTTAGGCCTTAGGCCTTCGTGGTAGTTGGAGTATAAAAAAAAATAATGTAACCTAATTCTCTTATTATGCAACTTTTATGTATAGAATAAGTTACCAATTCAAATCTTACTGTTACGAAATTTCCTAGATAAGATTATCCATTATCATAGTCGTGACACCCTCTAAACAGTTGTTGACTTTTGCCATCTTTAACAAATGCAGATGACCTCTTTTCTCATTTAACCTACTATCAAGCATCTGTAAATTAAGGTAACTCTGACATAATTCTAAGTCAGCATTTGCGCTACTCTTTAAATATTTATCATTGATGCATAAATTGAATAGTACAGACAACCTAGACAACATTTACAGCAGTGGATAAGCGTTTGAAATAGTACTGTGTCAGTAGAACGGGGTCATCAAATAGGAACAAAGGGGGCATGGTTCTCCTCCCCACCACCACTCCTACCACTAGTACTATTCTACAACTATTTAAAACTGTAATGACTCATACGCGTGATCAACACGTGATCAGAGCTCGATCCCGGCTTCCTTCCAGTACAGCCGTATAACGTCCGACATATGTCGTTTCTGTGGCTTTGCGGTGGTCAACAGCACAGACAGAGATGGAAATAATGGCTGAAGACGCGCCTCGACCGGCAGACTCATAGGCGTCGGCAACGCATTGGAACGTGTTTCGTTGAGCGATCGCATATTGTGTGTTTTTATAAGAATTGTTGTGTGATTGTTATTGCTGTGGTTACTGTTTTGGTTATACTTAACCATGGAGAGTACAAATGGCACGAGTGGAAGTACTGAAAACCAGGGAACAAGTAGACGGCTTCGTAAAGCACTGAAGAGGGACGCGAAAGAAATCGTGCTCAACGTGTTCAATTATCTGAACAGAACTATGTCGCAGAGAGATGCACTCGCGCGTTGTGAAAGTATGACAGGCGTTCCAGAGTGGACCATTCGCAGGGTGGTGCATTCTTCTTTAGGAATGAGATACCAACCCTCAAGGCTGTACATGCAGCGATCAAGGAAAATGAAATTATACCCCAAATGAGCGTCGAGGTAATGAGGAAATCCCTGCACGGAATTAATTTTCGTTACGAAACGCGTAATCGGAAGTCAGTATTGATAGAGAGGCCTGAAATAGTCGCTTGGCGTCGAAAATACCTACGCGAAATGATTGAATATAGGCAACAAAGCAGAAAAATCTATTATTTGGACATGACATGGATAAATGCAGGTCACACAGTTAAAAAAACCTGGATAGACAAAAACGTAGTGAGTAACCGACAAGCAAGCATTAAAGGTTTGTCAACAGGTCTTCGTGGACCGTCAGGGAAAGGTCAAAGATTGATCGTAACTCATATTGGTAGCGATAGTGGCTTTTTAGAAAAGTGTGACTTGATTTTCGTCTCTAAGAAAGGAGGTGATTACCATGACGAAATGAATGCCAGCTGCTTCGAGAGCTGGTTTCAAGGGGTGCTTCAGCGAGTTGAGCCCAACTCTGTGATCGTCATGGATAATGCTTCCTACCATAGTCGTTGAGCCGAACGTGTACCGACTATGGGATCTCGAAAAAGTCACATGCGCGAAAAAGGAATCCCGTTTGACGATTCATGTGTGAAAGCGGAATTGTATGAAAAAATCAAACAGCACAAACCTGCGAATATTAGTTACGTGACTGATGAGATGGCCCGTCAATGTGGTGTCACTGTGCTGCGGTTACCGCCCTACCACTGTGAACTGAACCCAATAGAGCTCATCTGGGCTCAAGTGAACGGTTATATTGCGCGCCATAACACAACCTTCAAATTACCAGACGTTAAGGTTTTACTTGAGACTTCCATACAGCTAGTAACGCCCGAAGCTTGGCAGAATGCTATCCGTCATGTTTTGAAGGAAGAAACAAAAATGTGGCAGCTTGACCACCACATCGACACCATCATAGAGCCAGTTATAGTCAATTTCAACGAGGAAAGCGATAGCGACAGTTTATTACTGTCAGATGTAAGTGGAAGCGACGATGAATAAAGGTAATTCCCAAATTTTTGACTTACAATATGTTTCAAACCACTCTTTATTAAGCATGTGACAAATCTAGTTCACCCATGTTAAACATTCATACCCCGCCTATGAACAGCCGACTACTGGTATACTATAACTATCTAAAACTGTAATGACTCATCGATGTTCACGTGAACATCACTTAACTACCTCGTGCAGGGATTTCTTCATTACCTCGACGTTCATTTTGGGTATAATTTCATTTTCCTTGATCGCTGCATGTACAGCCTTGAGGGTTGGTATCTCATTCCTAAAGAAGAATGATTGTACGGTTCGCCTTAACGCCATTTTGCTATCGTCACCCAATTTAACGGCCTTTCGTCCCTTCAAATTAAACAGTAACCACAGAAACCACAACAATAACAATCACACAACAATTCTTATAAAAACACACAATATGCGATCGCTCAACGAAACACGTTCCAATGCGTTGCCGACGCCTATGAGTCTGCCGGTCGAGGCGCGTCTTTGATTTCATTGGTTCTACCGGCGGAGAACAATCAGCCATTATTTCCATCTCTGTCTGTGCTGTTGACCACCGCAAAGCCACAGAAACGACATATGTCGTACGCTATACGGCTGTACTGGAAGGAAGCCGGGATCGAGCATATGAGTCATTACAGTTTTAAATAGTTGTAGTATAGTTATTGAGTCATTACAGTTTTAGATAGTTATAGTATAGGTGGTAGTACCCTAAAAGGTTAGCGCTTTCCCAGAATCTTTTACCGCTTCACCAATGGGCTTTGCTCCTCAGAGCTCTCAATCATGACGCCGCAGCGCGATGATTCTGCCAGACAGACCCGTCTGACTTCGGCCTCCCATCCTATCCGTGTCGAACTTCGCACAGCCAGCACTGGCCGATACGACCGCTCCTTTGTCCGGAGGGTGTCGAGACTGTGGAGTAATCTATAAGAAGGGGTTGGAAAACCCTCGGAAAGAGTTAACAAAACCTCTTTGGGATCCCAAAAGCAGCCGCGATGCCCTGGCATTTAGGCTTCGTATCATCCCATCTGTTTTTAGAGAATTTGTGGGTATTTGGGAGCGCAGAATGTAGAGGAGTTCTGGATTCAACAGTTCCTTTCATCAGTCGATCAGCGGATTAGCTGTGGTATTTATTACGTTTCCGATATCAGTGACCCTCCAGCCAAGCAAAAGTTATATTGTCGCTAGCATGTAGACTCCTTTTTCTTCTCTCAACTAAATTAATTTGTTAGTTGCAAATTTTCTTGATGCAGTTTTGTTTATAAAAGCTCGTGTGTCCTCGAATTTGGAATAGTTGACATTTGAATCTATTAGTATAATTCGTTACAGTCACCTCTCACTATTTGATAGACCAGAATTCAGAGATTGTTGATCTATGATAACGGAATTAAAAAACGTGCAAATGTCAATATCCCCAAAAGCGGGTATTAAGAACTTTTGCAAATGAATTGGAGGTAAGTTTGGTCAGCAATTTTCTCTATTAGAGCAGGCAAAAACCATAAATTCGTAGGAAAAACAACTTATATGCTACAATGGTAAAAAAGACAAAAATTAACTATTCTTTAAAACACCATGCAGGCATATGTGACAAACCAATTTGTGGGATGTGGGAAGTGGGATGAGCTGTCTTGCAAGAGGAAAGCTAAATTGTGTTTTTTAACGCTGTTGACAGATGTAGGAAAATGTATACATAACAATTGTTTTCTAAGCCCAAGATATCGATTTTGCAGAACTCAATATTGTAAACGTTCAATAGTTCAATTCAGCGTTATATTGCAAAAAATCAGAGCCGCAATTCTGGATTGACTGTTTCACAATCCACATTAAATGGCATGCCAAAAATATCCAAGTCTGATTCGCTTAAAAAGGCATTTCACGCTTTTCTCATAGCTCTAACTACAACAGTTCTGAGTCTTGGAAAGTGAGTGAAGTATTTCTTGTCTAGTTTTCTTTTACACTGAAGCAGCCGCGCAGGCAGAACCCAGGACACTGCGGCTGCTATGGGGATCCCAAAGAAGTTTTGTTAATCCGAATTGGATTGACCGTACAGGAAAGGAGGTCGTTGATATGTAAGAGGAACAATGTCGGAGCCAAGACCCGCGTTGACATTTTCAAAAAAAACAAAAAATTTGAAAAAACGATTAAATCTTTGTTTGAGTCGATAGAACGGTCGATATAATTTAATGTTTAAAGATTATTTCATGTAAATGTTGGCCGCGGCTCCGCTTTAGATGGCCCATGCGCAAGGTCCAATTTTGGCGCACTCTCTCCAACATATCGGCCGGTATCTCACGAATAAATGCTTCAATATTGGCTTCCAGTGCGTCAATCGTTGCTGGTTTATCCCTGTAGACATTAGCTTTTAAATGGCCCCACAAGGAATAGTCCAACGGCGTTAAATCACACGATCTAGGCGGCCAATTGACGGGCCCCAAACTTGAGATAAACTGTTCACCGAACTCGCCTCTCAATAGGGCCATTGTTTCGTGTGCGGTGTGGCATGTGGCACCGTCTTCTTCAAACCACATGTCAGCCAAGTCCAGCTCTTCCATTTTGGGCAAAAAAAAGTTTGTTATCATCGCACGGTAGCGCTCGCCATTCACAGTTACGTTCCGGCCATTGTCGTCTTTGAAGAAGTACGGCCCGATGATGCCACCGGCCCATAATCCACACCAAACAGTGATTTTTTCGGGACGCATTGGTAGCTCTTGCAATGCTTCTGGCTGGTGTTCACTCCAGATGCGGCAATTTTGCTTGTTAACGTACCCATTCAACCAGAAATGAGCTTCGTCGCTGAACACAATTTTTCGATAAAAATGTGGATCTTCCTCCAACTTTGCCAGCGCCCATTCACCAAATTGGAAACGTTGTGGGAGGTCGTGTGGCTTGAATTCTTGCACCAGCTGTATCTTATAAGGTTTTACACCCAAATCCTGTCGCAAAATTGTCCACGTAGTGGAGTAACAGAGGCCCAATTGCTGCGAACGGCGGCTAATCGACATTTCACGGTCGTCACTAACACTGGCGGATACAGCCGCAATATTTTCTTCAGTCCTCACTCTACGTCTGCGTGTGGGTGGTTTAATGTCCAATAATGTAAACTGGGCTCGAAATTTAGTCACAAGCTCCCTCAGTATGCCGACCAAATTGCCCATAAATTGGAAGCAGTGCTCGATGCCCTCTCTTAACCGAGCATGAATTTTGATAGTAAAATTCAATAATTTGCAAGCGTTGTTCGTTCGTAAGTCGATTCATGGTTAAATTATAGACCAAACTGAACAAGTTTGACAATGACACAAGACACGATTCACGCGTCATCTGTCAAAAACAGTGTTGCCAAAAAGATACTAGCAAAAAAATCACCCATTATCTTTTAGCCAGAGAGGATGTCAGCCACCCATCTGCAAAGCTTCTGTGGAAGGCCATAGGATGGAAGTTTGCATAAGACGTCAGCATGCCACAGCCGATCAAACGGTTTCGTGATGTATCATACTGTCTGACACTAATCAATCCGTTCGAGGTAGTACACAAGCTCGCGATTTATACACCTCTCCATCACCACAGAAAGCAGAGCTATAGACCTGTAGTTGCAAGGGTCGGTCTTGGATCCCTTTTTTGGGATGGGTTGGACATGAGCAAATTTCCAGTTATCTGGAAATAACGCGAAAGAACTGGAGCAAGTTCCGCAGCACACCTCTTCAATACAACCGCAGAAATTTAGGTCCTGACCAGAAGCTTTGTTGATGTCGAGCGATAAGAGCACTCGTCTTACGGTCTTAAGCCTGAATGTTACTTCCCGCATAGTGTAGAGGAACCTTTGGATCAACGGCACTCGGGCGTTGGAGTGGCAAAGATCTTGGCAAGCACTTCCGCCTCAGCCTTTGAGTCAGATACAATTGTTTCACCCTGACACGTAAGTATTGTTTGCAAAATATAGGGCTGTCCAAAACGGACGCAGGAAAGTAAACGCATATTAAAACAAGAAAAATTGATATTCAAATCAAGTTGGGTACTTTAAAGGTTCATTTATACAATTTATGTATGAAAAATAATATCGCTCAAATGTTCACCACGACTGGATTTACAGACGTCCACGCGATGGTCGAAATTTTCAATGACATTTTGCAACATGGTCGGTTCTATGGCATTTATCTCGGCAATGATGTTGTTTTTGAGTTCTTGCAGGGTGGCTGGTTTGTTGACGTGGACTTTGCTTTTCAAATATCCCCATAAAAAGAAGTCCAAGGGAGTCAAATCGCACGATCTTGGTGGCCATGGCACATTTCCTCTGCGCGAAATCACGCGATCACCGAAGAAGGACTGCAATCGATGGATATTGACGTTGGTTGTGTGGCATGTTGCACCGTCTTGTTTGAAATAAACATCGTCCATATCCGTTCCTTCAAGTTGCGGCAAAAAATAGTCCTCTAGCCTCAAGAGATATCGCTCAGAATTGACGGTAACGGCGTCCCCGGCCGCATTTTCGAAAATGTAAGGTCCGATGATGCCTTTCGACCACAATGCACACCACACAGTCACTTTTTGAGGATGCATCGGCTGCTCTTGATACTCACGGGGATTTTCGTTCGCCCAGATGCGGCAGTTTTGCTTGTTTACCGTCCCATTCAAAGTGAAATGCGCTTCGTCGCTGAACATGATTTTTGATGAAAAATTGGCATCAATTTGGCGGTGTTCAAGGAGCCAATCTGAGAACGTTCGGCGCGAAAAATGGTCGGCCCGACGCAGCTGTTGCGTCAATTGGATCTTGTAGGCGTGTACATTCAAATCCTTGTGGAGAATGCGGAGCAATCTGGTTCTCGAAATGCCCAATTCTTGGGATCGACGCGTTGTTGATTGTTTCGGATCGTCTCTCACACTCTCTTTCACAACAGCAATATTTTCCGGTGTGCGAACGCTCCTTGGCCGGCCAGAGCCTGGCAGATTTGCCACAGAACCTGTTGCCTCGAATTTACGCACGAGACGACTGATGGTTGTTTCGTTTGGGCGGTTGTTGCGACCGAAATGTTCACGAAGCGCGCGAAACGTGTTTTTTATGTTTGCACCATTTTTGTAGTGCTCTTGAATAACTTTAATGCGGTCTTCAATCGAATACGACTCCATAGCGATCAATGGTAAACATTCAACTAACAAAATGACATGTCGGTGACAGAAAACAAAGATGGCGTCTATGTCAAATTGACGTTTACTTTCCTGAACGCGCCAAACAGTTGGGTACATGCAGATCAAAGGCACCGAGAGTAGTTGTCGCATCTGCAGTGGGGTTAGTGTCAAAGGTCTCCAAAAAAACCAAACATCAGCTTTTCATCTAAAAGTTTCTTGATGCCCCGCGTAAGTGTTGGTGAATGTTAATTCTGTCCTGAGACGTTACACCTATAAAGCAACAGCTGCACAATGTTGCCAATTCACTAACAATTTTTATCCTTTATGTATGCGTCCGAGGCCAAGAGTGAAAGGATTGTAAGCAATTTCTCACAGGTTACCAAAATACTCTGTATCACAACAATCTGTAATTTTTAGCGAGCTGAAAGTTGTTGTGAGATGGAATTATTGCACAGCTAGTTATGCTAATTTTGTTATCGAAATGGCGGATGTTGTTACCAGGACGGGGTCAAATACAAGCTCCTGGGAACCTACACGGAATGAATGATGAGTAAACTGGAAGCATTTTGGTGAGAAAGGCAAAGTTCAGCATGACTTTAGTCCAATCTTCTTAACACCCTTGAAAATTTTTGTGTTGGACACAGCATAAGCCTTGACTGGAAAAACAAATTGTTGTTTATCAAAACGATTTTCATCACATTCAATATGTGTGCTGCTGTGGGATGTAATTCCGACATCCAATCTATACGGAATCCTTGCAAAGACATGAAGTTCCACAGTTTTCCTCAAGACCCAAACCTTAGCAAAAAATGGCTACATCTTACAAAAAGAAAAGACAAAGTCAATGTAAAAAGCGCTAGGGTTTGCTCGAAAATGCACCTAGAGGATCTAAAACGACGCTTCAGCGTCCAATACCTGTTAACAAGACGACTTAATCAAGATGTGATAGAAAACGTTTTCAGAGTAATTAGGGCAAAAGGTGGCCTTCATGACCATCCAAGTCCCCTAGAGTTTAAGTATAGAATAAGGTCATACATTTTGGGGCGTAGAGTCAGAGGATACTCCAGACATTCCACTAATCCCATCATTAACGAATAAACTGAATGCAACTGAAGTATCAGCTGACTATAACGAGGAAGTTTTAGTGGAAGAAATTGACTTTGACGAGCTGGCTCTATATGCTATAAATTGCAGATTGAAACGTTCCTCAAATGAGACTTATTCCTGGATAGATCATCTTAGTGAGGGTGGATTATCAAAACCTTCCACAGCTTTCATGAGTCAAATTGAGAAACTGAACAAAGTGACTACATTCAATGGGGACGGAGTGATG